GAAGTTGATAGTGCTAGGTTGACTCACCTGTCACTTTACCACACGTAGTACTAGGTGCTTCATCAAATCTGAACGGCGGTCGATTCTGCGTGCGAGCTGTTGATGTTGCTGTTGCTCGGGCCAGGAGGGGTCATCTTGGACATCCATTTACCTGTGTGGAGCGAGCGCACGCATGCATGCAAAAGGCGTCAAGAAAGTGCAAAAGAAAGCATCCAGATTCCAGATACCAGAAACTCAAGCGGAAACCTTTTGTTTTTGAGTTATAACACTTAAACTTTGATAGTCTGAAAGTGCTAGTTATCGACTAGAGGGGGGTGAATAGGCGACTTTTATGAAAGTCTTCAAAACGCGATGACTTTAAAGACATACAGTAGAAATGAACCTATTGATATGCAACCAAAGGTAGACTACACTAGACAAGCCATAATCAAGTAAGCAGTGAAGTGAAAGCACGAAGACTATCAACAGCTAGGTAGTATGGATCAGGATGGAAGATAGTATGAAGCCAAACAACAACAACCTTCACACAATGAAGTCAATCAGATCAAGCAAGCAAGCAATGACTTCACGAAGACAAATTGTAAATAAAGAGAGGTAAAGGATAGAGCCAGTTGCTTGGTGCGGACAAGGATTTTTTTGGATCAGTTCCAGTTACTGTGACAACTATACGTCTGGTTAGGGAGGCTAAGATTCAACTCAGAAGACCGCGTCTTCACCTTATTCCCCTTGAGCTAAGGACACACAGTCCTCGCCCAATCACTCTGGTAAGTATTCAAGGTAGACTTCCAAACCTTCACAGACTTCGTTTACCGCCAATCCACAATGACTTTTGGATACTCAAAACACGACGCCTAACCGGCTGAAGGATTCACAGTCCTCAAGTGTAACAAGTCTTCAGATCACGCAGACAGAAAGACTTCAGTGATGCCTAACACTCTTTGGCTCTGGGTGTTTAGGGCTTTGTCCTCGCAAGGATTTCTCTCTCAAATGCTTCAGAGGTGGGTTGCTCTCAAACGACAAAAGCCGCGCACTAACTCTGAGTAGCCGCCAATTTATATTGTAGGGGGTGTGTTATTTATAGCCAGGAGGCAACCCGACCTGATTTCTCCGAAATAACCCTGGGTCACTAAGGAACTGACACGTGTCCAACGGTCAGATTTCAAACACACGCGGCAGCTTGACTTGGGCTCAAGTAAAGCTGACTCATCCAACTCTGGATAAGATTTGCTCTCATTGTCTTCACTCGAAGACATAGGATTTGGTTGAGCATCACTTTAGTCATTCTGACTTTGTTCACTTGGACCCCACTTAACAGTATGGTGGTTTCTATGACTCAACAAAGAAGAAAAGGAAACTACGAAACAACTATGTTTTCGTACTCCATAGTCTTCATACGATGTCTTCTCATGTCATAGTCTTCAATGCGAATCTCTTCACATACCATCATTATCTTCAATGTCTTCACACATTTTTGGGGGTCATCTCTGATAGGTAAACGAATCAATGAGGGACTACTACTTGTGTTATCCTACAATTCTCACAAACACATTAGCCCCTCAACCAAGTTTGTCGTCAGTACTCCAAAACCAACTAGGGGTGGCACTAGATGCACTTACATGGTCGTTTCCCACTTTTGCTGCTACCTTTTGTTGCAATGATAAATTTCACATGAAGTCATTCTGCAGACGCCCATTTCTCATTGTGCATGTCATTATCCTCATTACATTTTTGTATGCACGATGAATTGTCTTCATGAGTTGGGGAAGATCTCCATAAAGCAAAACCTGCCATGTGCATTTGCATTCAAAGACAAATTACTAATATGCACATCTTCAAGGGTAGCCCTTTCAACTTCATGAAGCCAATGATCGCATCCTTTAACTTACACATATTTTTATGCCCGCTAAACTTCAATCAGTTTGTCATCAATCACCAAAAAGGTGGAGATTGTAAGTGCATCTAGTGCCACCCCTGGTTAGTTTTGGAGTATTGACGACAAACGTGATTGAGCGACTAATGTGTTTATGAGAATTGTAGGATAGCACAGGTAAAAGTCCCTCATTGATTTAGTTTACCTAACAGAGATGACCCCTAAAAATGTATGAAGACATTGAAGACAATGATAGTTTGTGAAGACATTCACGTTGAAGATAATGATGTGTGAATACATTCACGTGAAGACTACGGAGTGTGAAGACATAGTTTCTTTCATAGTTTCATTTTCTTCTTTCTTGAGTCATAGGAACCACCGCACTGTTAAGTGGGGTCCAAGTGAACAAATTCATAAGACTGACGTGATGCTCAACCCAAAATCCTATGTCTTCGAGTAAAGACTATGAAAGCAAATCTTATCCAGAGTTGAATGAGTCAGCCTTGCTTGTAGCCCAAGCAATGCTGCCGCGTGTGTTTGAAATCCGCCCGTTGGACACGTGTCGGTTCATTCGTGACCCAGGGTCATTTTGGACATATCTTGCCGGGTTGCCTCCTAGCTATAAATAGCCCACCCCCTACACCATAAATTGGTGATTGCTCAGAGTTAGTGCACGACTTTTGTCGTTTGAGAACAACCCACCTCCGAAATCTTTGAGAGAGAGAATCCTTGCGAGGACAAAATTCAAAACACCTAAAGCCAAAGAGTGTTAGGCATCACTGAAGTCTTTCTGTCCGCGTGACCTGAAAACTTGTTACACTTGAGGATTGTGTATCCTCCAGTCGGTTAGGCGTCGCGTTCTGAGGATCCAAAAGTCACTGTGGATCGCTAGTGAACGGGATGTGTGAAGATTTGGAAGTCTACCTTGAAGACTTACTAGAGTGATTACGCGAGGACTGGGTGTCCTTAGCTCAAAGGGAATAAGGTGAAGACGCGGTCTTCTGAGTTCAATCTCAGCCTCCCTAACCAGACATACAGTTGTCGCAGTAACTGGAACTGGTCTACCAAATACTTGTCATCACCAAGCTACTGGTTCTATCCCCACCTCTTTTACATTTCAGTTTGTCTTTGTGAAGTTATTGCTTGTTTGCCTAATTAGTTTGACTTCACTGTGTGAAGACTATTACCTGTTTGGCTTCATGCTATCTTCCATTTCGATCTGTACTATCTAGCTGCTATTGGTCTTCTTGCTTTCATTATATTGCTTACTTGACTATGATTTGTCTAGTGTAATTTATCTTTTGCTGCATATCATATAGGTTTCATTTGATTGTCTGTCTTTAAAGACCTCGTGTTTAGAAGGCTTTCATAAAAATTGTCTATTCATCCTTTTTTTAGTCGATAACTAGCATTTTTTTTTTGCGAATAAAGATAACTAGCATTTTCAGAGTTCATCAGACGGGATTGAAACAATTTGTCGTGGTCATCCCGCGTACTGCCGCGAATGATCTGCTTAAACTGGTGTATTCGACAGCAGACGTGTCGTGCGCTGCGGTTAGGATGATATCAACCTCAGCTTTGTTAACCGAGGGCTGAGACAATTCAGGTACTGCCCTCAACACACGGCGTCTCACCTTGCGGAGATCTCAAGGATGTTGTGCTCAGCTGGTTTCGTACTACGGCCGATCATGTTGAAGGCAAACAAGGCAAGACACCACCAAGAGACGGGATCAAGTCCCAACGGAAAAGCAATCCGCCGCTGCTGTTTGTTTTGACGTTCCAGGTTTAAAATCACCTGTTTCCAAATACCTGTGAATGAAATAGTAAAGGAGAAGATACTACACTTGGTCGTCAGACCTAAAAAAAACGACCTGGAGGACGTGGACGTGGATTCGTCAACCCAGTCATCACGATAATAAATATGAGAGTTGGACGACCCGGAGAAGGACTCGGACCCCGCCTCGAGTCGCCTCCTCCGGCCTCCGCCTGCGGCCAGGACCTCGCCGTCGAGTCGTCCGCGGCTTCAAGCCGCCTCCGCATCCGCCGGTCTCCGTCAAGCCGGCTCCAACCTCCTCGCCGAGTCGTCTCCACTTCGAGCCGCCCCCGTGCGAGCTCGCCCCTGCGGCCTCCAGCCGCCCACTTTGGTTCGTCTCCGCTTGCCGCGCCTCTGCCACGGCCCCGCCTCGACCTCGCATCGCGCCCCCGCCTTCATCGCCACTGCCGCGCCAGGCCGGCCTCGCCTCGGTTCACCTCGAGCCGCCCTGCCGCCGGTCTTCGCCTTCCCGCCCTCGTCCTCAAATCGCCTCGCGCCGGCCCCGCCTCCGGCGTCGCGGCCTCGTTAAGCCGCTGCCTCTGCGCCGTCGTCTCTGCGGCCTGCGAATCGCCGCCGCGACTCCACGTCAACGCCTGCTAGCCGCCGTGGCGCCGTCGCGCCTCGCCTTCGCTTCCAAGGCGCCTTCACCCCTCGCCGGCTTCACCTCGAGCCACCGCGAGCCGCCGCCCCGCAGCCACGACCGCGGCCTCGCCTCCGCCTCCGCCTTGAGCCCCCTGCCGCGCGGTGAGCCACCTCCGCCGTGGCCGGCGTCGAGCCGCCCCGGCCCGGCGCCGCCACCAGTTGAAAAAAAATCCAGACGACTTACAAATAGTCTCTCCCTTACTCTACTTGTCAAGCCATTCTAATGGAGCTCAAACGTGTTTTAGAGCAGTAGTTAATTTAATCCCCCCACGGAGAAATCATTTAATTTATTTGAAGTTCGAAGCCTGTTCTTGGGACCAAGATAAGTCTACACGCAAACATGCATGCGATGAATATGTAGTAATAAATATGGTCCATAAAAAGTATACTAAATAAAATCTCAGAACAAATTCAATAACAATTCCAGTATATACATATATGATATGACCACTGTATAATAAATTAACCAATAACAATATAGATAGAAACGAACATGAATGAACAAATGAACCACTACTTGTTTACGTGACCCCTTTCACAAACTACACTTGATATCTGCAGAGCTTCTTCCAATACAGAACCGATGTGGCATTATTCAATCTGACATACGACTTGGACGAACTAAGATTCACTTGTTTCTTCTTCCGCACAAGGCGGCCTAGGCACGTAGGTCGTTCACTTAGAAGACATGGCCTTGGCGGCTGAAAGATGAGAAAAGAATGAAACTTTTAGTATGCACGTCGGTATTTTCGTAGCACATCGATCATGCAAAATTCTAGTACGGCCTATGCATAAACATAGCATATTTTTAGCATGATCGATCGATCCACGGATAGAAGCTGATCTGATAGTGCCTAGGTTGACTCACCTGTCACTTTACCACCAGTAGTACTACGCTCTTCACCGGGTCTGAACGGCGGTCGATTCTGCGTGCTGTTGCTGTAGCTCTGGCAAGGAGGGGGCGTCTTGGACAACCCATTAGCTGTTGCATGCATGCCAAAGGCGTCAAGAAAGTGCACAAGAAAGCATTCAGAGACCAGAAACGTCAAGCAGAAAGGCGCTGGCTAGAAAGGTGCAGATCTGATAAAAGGGAGCTGTCACATCCATGCATACACATATCACGTATGCTCAAGTACTGATATGATGAGTGATGCTCACTAACCTGTAGACGGCGCGTTTTGCCCAGCCGCCTGCGCAGTATACGCCGGGGCCGGAGACGGGACAGGAGGCCGTGCCGGCGGCACTGGTTTGCTTGTCATCGCTGCATACATGCATGGAGAATACGTTGACACATCAGAAAATTGTAGATGCTAGCTTGCTTCGACCATGGATGATGGATGAATCGGATCTGTGGATGCTGCCGGCTCACCTTTCGGCGCCATGG